ATAGTGATCTTCGGTACGCCCGATGACGACCCACTTATCTACATGCAAAACAACAGACGTGGAACTTATTTAACCAAACATAACTCTCATCCATCAAGAAATAACAAGTGTAATATCCACTAAAGCAAAGCTTAAGTATATAACACCAACAGTTATTGCATCCACTTTTAACATTAGTCGATAGCTAAAGCCTTTTTGGTATGATGGTATCTCAACCAAAAGTGTTTTTTTTTTTTTTTAAATCTCAACTAAAAGTTACAAGTAGGCAGTAGAGAGGTTTGCATGAGACCAGTGAAAAATAAAAAAAGTGGACCGTTTTACAAGGGTTGAGACATCTTTAAATCGATTCGTTTTCAGAAGAGCTTTTGTTGCAAATTGATATGATATATGTTTCTTTCCCAAATAAATATATGGAAATGCTATTTGTACAATAGGATTTTTACAATGACTTTGACAATTCTAAGTCAATTACCCTTTTGCCCTTATTTAATTATTATACAGGTATATAAAATGAATTATACCATGACGGATATAGAATGGGATATGGAAATCCTGAAAAAACAGATAGATGAATTATTTAAATCTGTCAAACAACAATCTAAAGATTCTAAACAAGATTTAGAACCAATAGCAGGTAAAATAATCAATGATATTAAGCAAGAAATTGCTCAATGTCCTTGTAAAGAAGAAATTAAAAAATAGAAAATAATTCCTAATCAAGGAAAGAATGCACCTTTTCTAAAATACTCATATCCTAATGATTTAGTAGGAAATGAAGAATTAGGAAGCTCAGGAAATCCTAATGCCTTTAAATGGCCAAAAGATGCCCTTAAAAAATGAATTTTCAAGAAAAACTTGAGAAAAATCTCTGGAATCTAATCAATTTAGATTTGAATGAAAAACAAACTATCCAGCTTGAACATACAATTCGTTTCTTAGAAATAAATGAGAAACAATGTAATTAAGATTTGGAATTAAATTCTGAAATGAAAAAATTGTTAAAACTTGATGAAAATGATCAGTTTATAAAATAGAAGAAACTGAAACTGACACTCAGTCAGAATCAGAAATAAACTTCAATGATGAGGAAGAACTTTTGAAAGAAAATTTTAGAATGGAGAGACCAGAATCATCTAGAACAAAAAATGATCAAGACATGAATACTGATGAATTTGAAAGAAAACCATTAGTAACTCCTAGACCACCCAGGTCATCTAACAACAATACCGGTATTCCTGGTATTGCTGGAGAAGTACATACAACCTCAATCCTAGATTTAGACTGTAAGAAACCAGAAACAGTTAAGAATATAATTGATAAATGGGGACTAGAAGTGAGTCTTGTAATTAATCTTAATTCCAGTACTTTCAACACAGCACAACTTGTGTTAGCACTTGCTGAACATAGTATGCTTTAAAATGCACAAAATTTTATAAAAAGAGTTCAATGGGATACTCAAAATGTAGACCCTG